AGTTCCTTATAAATATTAGTTATATGTTCCTTATATGTCAAAAATGCATAGTAATAAACTTTTAATTTTCTTAAGTATCAAAAAGAAAGAAAAATTTTTTTAAATATAAATATTTAAACAATTTTTGTGCAAAATTTTTCTGCACATGCATTTGAATATAAATTTCTGAGATTTTAAATCTGTTATTTTACCTTAATTTTAATTAAAAAATATTTTAAAACCTGCTGATTACCTATAGTATAATTAAATTTCAATATAATGCATGGCAACTGTTGGTAGTTTTGAAGTTTATATATTTTTTTTGGCAAACTTCAGTTTTTGACATTTTTGACGGGTTTTTGACGGTTTAAACCAGTATTATACCCTTGTCATGTCACAAACCACTTTTTGACGTCAAAAACCCAACCCTGATTAAAGTATTTAGTAATTATTTATAATTTATTTGTATTATTTACAATGTATTTAGTAATTTAATATATATATATTTAATACAATGGTTATAGTGTATAATATCAACATTAACTTTTGATCTAAGTATCTTGAAATTCTTCTTAATGACATAAATACATCACAAACAATAAATATTTCATATATTACTAAATATTTCCCACATGTAAAATAGATACATTACTAGTTTATTTTTATATTTGAAAATATTAATAAAGAATTTGTATTGCCAAACAAAATAGCCAACTACTAATAGATTTAAAATGCAATTTATGTGAATAGCTTTGAAGCTTTGTAACACATAACTAACGGTGCATATTGGTTAATGTATTATCATGAGAAATACCAAGTACATTATCAACGACACAAGTTGAACATGTCACCAATATTGTCTCTTTCTCATTAAATAAAGCAATTACTTGGTACCCCTTAACAAATCCTTTCAAATGTACTTTATTTTTTATCTATTTTCAGTATCACACTATGCATTTGTAGTGTTCTCCCTAAGCCCTTTTAGAACGGGCGGTCCACCCTGCCTGTCCTTGATCCCTATAAATGCGCCTTTTGTAAAAATAAGCAGCCATCCCTTTAAAACACAGCCTTTTTATTCCTATTGCATTTTTAAAAAAATTAATTCACTGTTTAAATAATAATTACACACTGGTAAAATTATCTGTGTTTATAGGTTTAATTCTGATTACTATTATAAATATTTAATTTGTTAGGATTATTCTCAACTCATAAAATTTTTATAACTATCTTTTTTTCAGGGGGAATATTATAGATTTTTTAATGGTTTTAATTTTTTAAGATATTTTTTAAATAAATAACTTTTTTCTTTTTTTAAAAAAAAAGCACCTATAAATGTTCATTTTCTCATAATTTTCAGTTTAGATTATAGAAAAAAGCTTTCAAGTTTATCCATTAATCATTTTTTTTTTAAATTTACTTTTTTTGAAAAAAATTTATGTCCAGAGATTACCTACTAGCAAGCCTTTAATTATTTTTATAAACTACAAATTTTTCTCTTATTCTGATAACGAGAGAATTATTTTTGTTGAAATATATACTTAGAAATATATACATAAAATAATATAAGAGGGTAATTTAAAAATTGCTGAAGATCAAATTCAGTTATTACATAACACATTTTGATGCATTTTTATGGTGTTGAAAGAGTGTCTTTTCAAAACTTATAGTACCCTTTTCCGAGAGGCAACGCCTTGCCCTTTTTAATTCCTAGGGAGAATTCTGACATTTAAAATGCAAAAATATATTCTTAATGTAACATAAACTATTTATATTTTTTAATAAATGCTAACAAAAATACAATCATAAAGCAAATAACACATTTCAAGAATTTCATTCACATAAATGCAAAATTGTTTATTGTTGGTTTTTTTTAATTACATTGAGTCCTCAGATAAAAGGAACTAATTTTAACCCTTCACGGCATCATTTTACATATCTGCCAAGTTTAAATTGAATTTTCTCTTCTGTCCTCAATAATTTAACATTGAAGGACATGCTATTTCCACGCGTATAGCTTCATTAGTCTGGTGCCTACTGCCATTTCCATAAGAGGGATAACTGTTGTTCTGAATCTGCAGTTCTTATCACTGCAATTTAAAGCTCCAGACGCTTCATTTCTTATATTTCATTTTTTATTGATTTTTGCTGATTTTGTATTTTTTATTGCCAAGATTTGATTGTTTACATTTATGTTGGGCATCAGTTATGCATTGAATTTATTGCATTGTACACACAGTTAAATAGATATACAAAGTAATAAAAAATGTTCTTCTCCCTCAAAAAACTGTAAATGTTTTTTTTTCAGTATTATTCCCATATTCCTTGGCCAATCCTGCATATGAAAATAATAAATATTCTGTACTTTTAAAAAGTGTGGAGTAAAGGGTGAAAATTTATTTTTATAATTACTAACTACAATTTTTCTAAATAGTCATTATTAAATTAATTCAAGTTGATAATAAATCTCACTTAATTTTTATTAATTAAGAGACAAAGCTGTAGTTTACAATAAAATGTTATAAACAACTATAATTGATAATTTAGAATTAAAATTTATCTTGTATGACATGAATATTACAGCATAAGTGACAAGTGTGGCAAACAGTAGAAATGATATGGTGTGTTTCGATAGTTTAAATAATAGTTTTGAAATAATAGTAAAGTTTTCATATAAATCTTTTTTCAAATTTATTTATTTTTATTTTTCTTTACTTAAAACTCTAGAAGTTAAAAATGAAATATTTGGTAGTTGAATATTCAGCCAAATACTGAATAATTAGCATTGGGCCTTCAGAAGAGGCAGTCAGCCAAATATTCCTTATTTGGTAAAAAAGCTGCCCAGTGTATTTCTTATATGAAACATAGACAATATTTACTTTCTCATGTGTTTCAAATATTAAAAAACAAAAACTTTTGATTTAAAACAATGGAAGATAATTTTATTCCTCTTGAAGGGATTTGTCAATAATAAATTAAAAAATTTTCATACAAATTCTATGTAAAGATAAAATTATTTCAATTCAAATACTTTTCGTATTTGTTTGAACTTGTGCAAATATGTCAATTAAGTAAACAAAGTCAGCAGAGTAAGAAACTAACCTGTGCTGCGAGCCGGCATGTATGGGGCCAAAAGTTTGGCTCGTTTCTTTTCATACCCTTTCTGTGTGATGTCACCTAAAAAGTACAACACATTTAGTTAAAAAGAAATTAACAAAATAAAATACAAATCAATCCATTATTATAATTTTAAAATTTTTATATAAGTAATTAAATAGGACTTCCAAAAAACTTTTTTAATTATAAGAAAATAAGGAGCTAAAAAAATATAACTATTTTTCACATGTTTTTACATGTTCACTTAAAAACATGTTCACATGTTTTTAAGTGAAAGTAGATTTAACCCTTAATAGCTATCCACCCAATGTTTTTGTACATTTAGGTCATTTTGACCCATTAAGGGTAAAAAATAGGAGTTGCAAGTTCAATGCTTGCAATATCATCTTTAATTTATTATTACATATATATGCTAAATAAATTAATATTGTTGCGTGTTGAATTAATGATTATTGTTGTTTGCATGGGAAAAGCACAAATTATAATAGATTTATGCATTACTGTAGAAGGCAATCAAAAAAAAAAATAATACAAAAAAAATCCATATATTTATAAGTATTTTTTACCCTACTTAATACTAAGTAGGGTACATAATTAACTCTAATAAAGACAAATTTTACAATTTTATTCCAAAAGTATAACATAATATATTTTTATTTTCAGACTACTTAGTTCAGAACAAAAGGTTTTAACAGTTTATAGTATAATTTTATTAATGAAGCACTGAACAACTCAATAGTAAAAGATCAATTTATAGAAATTTTTTATAGAACTGCTGTATTAAAGAAAAGAATAACCAATTACAGTTATTTAATATTCCCTCATACCAATATTTAATTAGATTTTGTAATTAAGTTCAAGACTTCCTCAATCAAAATCTTTTAAAGTAGGGTTTCAATAATTTCAAGTCAAAAATACTGTGAATATGTCACTTAATAATTTTGTACACAAGTAATTTAGAGAAGGATCCCTCACTTTACCATTTAAAAATTCTATGATTACTGTATTGTTAATTAATATACCTAATTTATTTTAAAGTCCGATGAAAGAGACGAATAAAATATTAAGAAAATACAAAACTCCACCCTACAAGATCTGTAACTAAATTTGCAGAAAATAATAAGCTCCTGAATTCATCACCATAAAAATATGATAATGTAAAATTGCTAAATGAGTTTCCTATTAATAAAATGACTGAAATTCCAAAAAGTATGAAACAACTAATCCTGCGGGTAAAGCTATAAGTCTAAAACATGTATAATTTAGTGGACGGTCCCTAAGTTCGAACTATCAAATTTTACCAGTTTCACTGATAAAAGAAATTTAGCAATAAAATAATGTATAATAAAAAAGATGCTGGATCGAAAATACAAATCTTTTGATTATTCAATTCGATTATTTTAAAACTCACATTTGTATTCATAGAAATTGGGATGTCCTGGACAAAAGAATATCAAGACAAAAAACTAAAATTCTAGACAAAATAATTTTTATCAGGAAAATCAACTATGACCCTTGCATACAGTTTACCGTTTCTATTAATATAATAGCTTCCTTGATATAAGGGGCCGTCCATAAGAGATGTCTCCGGTCTTCACCTTACCCCCTTTAGTCACATGCCACACTACTTTACATAAATGTATACTAGCAGATCCGAAACAAAACACATGTTATAAATCATATTTTAAAATTTATTTTTTTTAAGTATAACTACGTGTTTTAATCAAAGTTAAAAAAACCCGTTTTTTTTTCCTTTTTCTTTCTTTTTTTTTTTTTTAAACTCTGGTTGGTTTTATTGGGTTAAAATATTACTTAGTTTAACACTTTTTAGATTTAATTTTTAATTCAGAAGAGAAAAATTTTAATAAAAAAAAAGGTTATACAAAAATAATTAAGTTATAAATTAAAATAAAAAAAGTTTTAATTTCAATGTGTAGTACCATATTTTCCTGCTGGTATTAATAAAAGAATTTTAAAGTAATTATTTCCTGAAGAAAAATAAAATCATAATATTGGGATCAGAGAAATATGTTGTTTTCTGTTTTATTTATTATTAAACATTCATAAGTTATAGCTTCATTTTTTAGTTATAAAGTAAGCCTTTTGCAGGCCTACTAACTACAGAACTACTGTTTATTTAACAATTTTCTTAGTAGTTTTAGGAATTACTCTTTTAATTGAATATTTATAGTTAGTTTTTATTTGAAAATTCCAGAATCAATATATTTCAGATAAATATGAAATCTCTTAAATCTATTTCTTTTTTATCTTATTCTTCATTAATCTATTATTCTTCATTAATCTTGATTATGTTTATAAAAAAACCCATTTAAGCCTGAGTTTTTTTGGGTTTGTGGGTGGGTCAAAAACCCTAGTTTTAATGACATATCGCTGGTTCAAAGTTAAAACGACACTTCTGCACTCACTTCTCATGTTATTTGAATGAGAAGTGAGTTCAGAAGTTGTCGTTTTAACTTTGAACCAGCGATATGTAGGCATAACAATAGGGGTTAAATTTGTACTTAATGAAGAAAAATATTTAAAAAAAATTATAAACTAATTACATAAATTATTTAATTTTCGGATTTTAAATGTTTTCCTATAATCAAAACGTGTGTAGTCAGACATGTTGAAACCCTTTCCCTCTCCCTTGCAAGAAACTGAAACAATTTTTTTAAAAACCATCTCCTTGCCTTCCAAGTTTAACATCATTTAACGGACCGACAACAAATAAATTTGCCGATTTCCACAAGTAGTCTTGAGCGGTCTCTTTTTCAATTTTATATCGACACGCGTCATCAAGAATATTTAATAATACTATTTAACAACCGCTGTTTCAAATCTAAGCAATACTTGTTCGTATGAAATTCGTTAGTTATATAATTATCACCTGAAAATAAGCTTGACTACTACATTATGATAACCGGTAATCAAAATGATTAAAAAGGAAAAGATTACTAAATACTGCAGAATCAGAAGTTAAATAGCGCTACGTAACAGAAATAATCACTAATGGAGAGCCGTTTAGTTCGAAAAATAGTTCAGAAGTCTTATTTTCAGATTCACGGCACTGTTAAAATTGCAATTTTTTCAAAAATTTAGTTTTTTTTTTCTTTAAAGTTTTTTTTTTATTATTATTTATCTATTTATTTATTATTTTGACTAATTGCAAGTACATTCATAACTAATGCTGTAACTAATTGCTTGTTGTAACTAATAACTTGTGGTAACTAATTGCTGGCCGGCTGGTATGTTTTGATATCAACAGGGTACCAGAAATTTCGACCGGCAAATTTAGAGGGGGTGATAAAAAGGTGAAAATCACGAAAAACCCGTAAAACATCATAAAATTCTACTAACATGCGAACAACAAAAAGATTTATTTATTTAGTTATTACAAGAATTGAAGTGGCACCCGCTGACGTCAATGTTTAATACGACAGTTTACAACGACGTAAAAACGATTCCAACAAGAGCTTAATTAAGGTAGGATAAACCTTAGCTGATCTTCACCTTTGTTTTCTCTAAACTCAGAGTTTGCATAAATGGTTCGTGATTTTAACCCTTTCACGCCTATGTTCTACGGTTAGTTTTTATCTTCTCGATACTTTTCATCATTCTTCTGAATTTATTGATCGAATTTTGAACACCCTGTATAGAAAGATGGCGTCATCAAAATAATAATTCAATAACAAACGAAAAGTGTCAAATGCATAAATCGCGTCAAAAGAGGTGCGAATTTAAACACGGTATTAAAAAGTCATGCAATGATCCTACACTGTGATGATATGTAATCAAAATGAAAATGATGATTTAAATACTAGATCAGCTATTCCCAAAAGGTGCTCCGCGAAACCCTAGAGTTCCGCGAAAGGATTACAAGGGTTCCGAAAGTTAGGATTCTTTAAACTAGTAAAATTATATTGATATCCAATCAAGACTTCATAATTTATTTAATATTTTGATTGCTTAGATGAACTTATTTATGTAAAATGCCAAGAGGGAAAAAAGTAGCATAAATTAAAAAAAAATTCAATAACAATATAAAAAAAACTATTAAATAAAACACGAAATTTATAAAAATTTAAATAAGAATTTCTCTTCCGAGCTTTTCAGTTCAAAATAAAATAACTAAACTCAAGACTAAAGAGTGACGTTTCTCTGATAACTAACTATTCTCAACATTTATAACAGTTCCTTTTAGACAACAATAATTCAACTTATTTTATTCATTTACACACCAAAACTAATTCATAATATCATTAAATATTTCATTCTTCACGTTAAATATTTCAAAATAATTAGTAGTGTTTTTTTTTATTTTTTATTCTTTGTTAGTACATTCACATCAGTTAAATAATAGCTTAACTCAAAAGCACAAAACGGAAATCACATGGACTAGCGTAACGATATGACATACTCACAAAGGATATTTCGAATAGGAGAGACTTATACATGAATAAAAGGTCTGGGAGGGTGGAACTCAGTTAACTAGACTGTATTAACTAGACGTTAACTAGAAGTAAACATTTTATACGTGTATCACAACATTAATAGAATGACCATATTGTATGCTAAAATCAAATAAATAAATGTTAATATTTTTTAAAGCCCATAATGAACTAAAATAATAACAAAAAAAAGTTAAATTTGGGGGAAAAGACTGACTCGAGAGCCCTGCTAAATAAATACAGTGAATATAAAATTTTAAAAACTTAATCACATTTTTTTTTCTTCCTTTTTAAACGTATGACAAATACTAATTTAATAACAAAGTCTAAAACTGTCATTGAAAAAAGTATCGTTACACAATTTAATAAAAAGACTTTTCTTTATTAATACCTTGACGCAAAATTTTTATTAAACATATTTTTCATACTTTTTTTTCTTTATCTTGCATTAATTTAAGGTCAAAATAAGTGAATAATAAATATATTTAGCATTTTTAATAATTAATGGCTATGAAATACAGAATGAAAAATCGGTGCCTTTTTCCGCGTAAGTAAAATCTTCCAAACAATAATTTTTCAAATTTGCATTTATTTGCAGTCATCTTATAT